TGCCAGCTGCTTTATCTCCAGGTCAATTGCCTAAGTCAGATTTGGGTGGAGTGGGGAGAGGAAGTTTGTTGGGTGGAGGCCGGCACCCCGGTTAGGATCGTTGCAAGTGACGCTTCTTATATGTTCCAGCAGATGATGAACTTGGCCAAAGGTAAAGACATTCTTGCAGACATTTTTTAGCTTTTATCTGAAACCCCTTTTAGAGCTTTGTGGTATTTGCTCACCGCAGTGGGGGTCCGATGGAGGCTTTTGGGCTAATTTACGTGTTTCACCTCTTTTCTATCCAGTCAACAGGTTAGTACAGAGCAGTGGGAGCTGTGTGTGTGTGTGTGTGTGTGTGTGTGTGTGTGTGTGTGTGTTGTAAGCTAATCCTTCATATGAATTTTTAGGGAACTGTCTTATTTTTAGGGCACCTTCACGGAGGTAAAGAAATGTGCGGCTGTTACCGTGTTTATAGAAAACCAAATTTCATTTTATAGGTGTTTCTCCCAGATCTGGGGTGGGTGCAATTAGGAGGGTGTGAAGAGCTGGTTTTTATCGTCTGCCTGATACCAGAATGGCACAGCCTAGCTTTCTTAGTGCACCTTCCACTTGAACTTTGGGTCAGGGGACAAGGTGCTGTGGCCATAGTTTTACTTAGTTTGCTTTCACCTTCCAGCTTCCCCGAGGTTAGTGAGACAGAAGTAAAATGAAATGACTTTTAAGCCAAAGCAGACGCGTCCCAGGGAAGAACAACAGGTTCAGGCTGTTGCATGGTCCAGGCTGTTACAATGGCCAGAGTCCTGTGTTCTGGCTCCTTGAGGATCAAGACAGAACATGGCATGCAGACGTGAACTTGATGCTGACATAAAGTGTGTGGTCCGCTTCCCCCACCCCCAAGAAGGCTGTAGCAACTCACTCAACAGGAAAGACAACCAAACTGGATCTTGTGATAGTGCTGGTGAAACTGACTAATAGATCCTTGCTCACATGGAGTTTTATGGAACAATAATCCTTAGCCAGAGAAAGGGACCATATTATTCATGAAGGTATATAGACATCATCACATGGGACTGTTTCATGCAGACGTTGAAAATTGGATGAATTCTGCTATATGAGTTAGGTAGTCTCAGGTAGGTGTGAGAGAATATTACAGTTTCTGTATCATTATTTTTTTCTTTTTCTTTTTTTTTTTTTAAGATTTTATTTATTTGAGAGAGAGAATGAGAGATAGCACGAGAGGGAAGAGGGTCAGAGGGAGAAGCAGACTCCCTGCTGAGCAGGGAGCCCGATGCGGGACTTGATCCCGGGATTCCAGGATCATGACCTGAGCCGAAGGCAGTCGCTTAACCAACTGAGCCACCCAGGCGCCCCATTATTTTTTTCTTAAGGTCTCCTTACTTTCCCATGAATATCCTAGTTTGACTCTGATTTTTTTTTCAAAGTTACAGATTCAATTTGTTTAATAGAAATAGGGCCATTAAAATTATCTTGTTTAAGTAGTTTTTTTATAGGAAGTTTCCTATTTCATGTAAATTTTAAAATTTATTGGCGTAAAGTTGCACAAAATATCCTTTTATAATATTTTAAAAGACTAGAAATGTTTCCTTTTCCTTTCTTTTCTTTTCTTTTTTTTTTAGGGTGGTCAGGGGCAGAGGGAGAGAGAGAACCTTAAGCAGGCTCAGCACCCGACATGGGCTAGATCTCACGACCCTGAGATCATGTCCTGAGCCGAGTTCACGAGTCAGACGCTTAACTGACTGAGCCACGCAAGTGCCCCGAAATGTTTCCTTTTTTATTCTTAGCATTGGTTATTTGTGCTTTTCTTCTTCTTGATCAGTCTTGCTAATGTATTATCAATTTTATTGGCATTTGGAAGAACGAACTTTGGTTTTTGTATTTTAAATGAAACAAAAACACTGCCTCCTTTCTTAAGTTTACATGCATTTTAAAAGCCCTGTGCTGTGGAACACTGTCAAAAAAGATTTTAAGAGCCTTTAAAACTAGGTAACTGAGTCTCCTAGCTGTAAGGAGGCAGACATTATGTATTTATTTTATGTGTCTTTGAAATAATGTTTCTCGGTTTTATTAAAACATACCTTGTTTTCTTGAGTATCCTACACAGTGGATCAAATTGTTCTAAGTTGGTTTTTTTATCTTCACTGGGGCACACCCTGTGAAATTGTTTTGGAAACATCCAGCTAGAATTTACATAAGATTTACTGGTAATTTAATGTGAATTGTAGGTGCTTTCAACTTACTTGACAATACAGATTTACTTTGTACTAGAGCAGAACAAATTTGCTGTAATGACTGAAGAAGAAAGTTTTGTTTTCGTTCATATGTAATGCATGAGTCTTGGCATTTTAACAATTTCTCAGAAAATCTGAGTTTGTGACAGTTTAAGGACAAGAACTTTAGAGTCAGAAGGAGCTGGATCTGAATTCTTTTTGCTATTTTTAGAGTTTAAGTAATCTCTACATCCAAGGTGGGGCTCGAACTCATGACCCTGAGATCTAAGAGCTGCATGCTCTACAGACTGAGCCAGCCAGGTGCCCCTGGATCTGAATTCTTGCTCTTGCCACTTTTAGCCCTAAAATTGCCTAACCCCTCTGCGCTTACATTTCCCCTCCTGTGAGGTAGAAATAATGAAAACTACACATAAGGGGCTGTTGGTGAAATTTCTTATTTTTTTTTTTTTTTTTAAGATTTATTTATTTATTATTTAGAGAGAGTGTGCGCGTGCACAGGAGCTGAGGGAGAATCCTCAAGCAGACTCCCTGTTGAGCTCTGAGCTTGGGGTTCAGTCTCAAGACCCTGAGATCATGATCTGAGCTGAAATCAGGAATCGGACTGAGCCACCCGGGCGCCCCCCCCTTGTGGGATTTCTACATGTGAATTGGAACAAATCAGGCACTTATCATTGTCGCACATTGCGTGTTTCCCCGTCCTGCCCTTTCTGGTTATACTTCTAACCTCACAACTTCTCTCAGTGCCTTCCTTCCAGAAATGTGAAAGGTTATTGCAACAGAATAAAACAGAGCCACTCTGGGGCGCCTGGGTGGCTCAGTCGTTAAGCGTCTGCCTTCGGCTCAAGTCATGACCCCAGGGTCCTGGGATCGAGCCCCGCATCGGGCTCCCTGCTCCCCGAGAAGCCAGCTTCTCCCTCTCCCTCTCCCCCTGCTTGTGTTCCTGCTCTCGCTATGTCTGTGTCTGTCAAATAAATAAATAAAATCTTTAAAAACAAAAACAAAGCCACTTCTCCCATCTGTTCTCTCTTCATTATGGGGGGTTATCAGGGTCGCTTTCCATATTTTCAGTATTTTCATCTTATTATCCAAGTTGATTGGTGGTATACTGGCTATATATTTTTCCACTCCAATTTTTACCTTGTCTTCCTGGGATTATTTTTTCTTCAGTTTATTTCACTTCCTTGAGGGTCTTACTGCTCTATTATATCCTCCCTTCCTCCCTTCCTTCCTTCCTTCCTTCCTTCCTTCCTCCCTTCCTTCCTTCCTTCCTTCCTTCCTCCCTTCCTTCCTTCCTTCCCTCCTTCCTCCCTTCCTTCCTTCCTTCCTTCCTTCCTCCCTTCCTTCCTTCCTTCCCTCCTTCCTTCTTCCCTCCCTCCCTCCGTCCCCTCTCCCTTCCTTTCTAGAAATGAAATGAGTATGCAGCTCAAAACTGGGCAGAGACTGGGATGTAAGTTAGTGGGGTTATTTCTATGAAGGCAAAGTTTCTTAGATTTAGTTATTCCAGAACTCTCGTTACTCCAGAAAAGATGCTCAACAACACTATTCATCGGGGAAATGCAAATCAAAACTACAATGGGACCCCACCATCTCACTACCCAAAAGACAAGAAATAACAAATGTTAGGCTGTGTGAGAAAAGGGAAGCGCCGTGCACAGCTGGTGGGAATGTCAACTGGGAGGCAGACGGTGCTGATGATAACCGTATCTGTTTTCGATCGCCATTGCATTTTTCTGAGAATGTTTTTGCAGCACCGAAAGTTCCTCGGTACTTTGGGGGGAAGTGTGGATTGTTGAATGCTATGGCTGACCTCAAAACCAAGAAGGGAAATGAGAAGTATGGGGTGGAGAAGGTTTGGCTGGGTAATATTCCTCCACAGAGGAATATGGCATTATTGAAGTCATCCAACTTTAAGCTGTTTGTTCTCCCTGGGGTCTGTCAATTGAAAAGGTCCTGGGGAATAGATGGCATCATTAGTGAATGTTTCTTTATGTGTAATAGCACAAAGGGTGGAACGGGGGAAGGGAAGGGGTTGTCAGCTGGGGGAGGGCTTTGCAGTGCTCTGCCCGTATCATTCACTGCTCTGCCCAAGGAGTGAGTCTTGGTTTACATTTTGTGTAGGAATCGGCATCATCTGGGAAGTGATTTTTGAAGACAGCAGGTTGCCTAACTGCCTTGGGTCTGGCCCGTCCGCTCTGACCCGGTGTGCTGAGTAACTCTGCGGCTGTTAATACTGGTTAGGGTTTTTATGAGTGGGGAACAAGGTGTATAGTCTTCATCAGTGTTTTGCAATACCACTCCTCCAGTTTATTTTGATTCTGTTGCTTGAAAACAAGTATTAGCCTGGCCTTCATTGGTAAAACTTGGGCGGGGGAGTTGGGGAGAGATCATGGCTTTTGGAAAGTTTTACCCGTTTAACGGTTGGGGGGGATTTGTGAGGTCTTGTAGTGAAGCACAGAGCCTCATGTGATACCTTGGAATTGTATGCCTCAGTGTTTGAGATTTCCGACTTCTGTAAATTCAGAGATTTTTGTGGGCAAGAATAACCATGGCCAAAGTGCTCTCTACAAAGCCATGGTTGAATAAGGGCCTGGTAAATACTTCTTGGCTTATTAAGATACTAATACCGAATAGTAATTTATTGAGTGTCTACAGCATACCCAGTGCTCTTCCTGTGTCATCTCAGTAATGTTTCAGAGGATGATCCTGCCTCTAGAAGTATGTAAAAAAATGAGCACAAAACCCATTATTTTCCTGTGTCTGCTCTTGTAGGTAGAACCAGTGTGGACTGAGGCCCACCTTTCTAGACCCGAAAGCCAGGAGGAGAGGAGGGTTGGTACCATGGGGTGTGAAACTCTGAATCCTAGTCTCTTACCTAGGATGTGAGCGGCCCCTCCGGATGGCACGTTTGGAGATCTTGAGAGAAGCCTCTTCTGTGTGGGACGGGGTAAGTGGGGCATTTGCACAACGCTGGGAAAGGAGGACTCAAACTTTTAGAGTCTTTATTGTCTTAGGACCCTGCTCAGATCGTCCTGTCTGGGGCCAACAGGAAGTTCATTATCTGTGACTGCTGTTTCCTGGAAACAGGGTTTGCTCACTCGCCTTTGAAATAGATTTCCCGGGAACCTTCGTTGGTGGGCGGTCCCGTTGTTGGGTCATGCCATGGACAAGCCAGGCCTCCGGGCTTGCGGAAGGGGGTGAAGCGGTGCATCCCATGTCGGGGATGTCAGTCACCGTGGGCTGGGTCCGCCCCTTGTGAATGGCCACTGATTTGCCTTGATTCCTTGTGCTTTGACTCATGAGGAAGAAGATTCCCATTGATTCTCATATTATAGTATCTCAGAGACTTCACAGGGTAATGACCCATCCTCCCACCTTCGTCTTCCTCGCATCTCTTTTGCCTGCCCTTGTGATACCCAGAAAGGAGAAGAAGGAATTGTTTTGGACTGCAGCAGGGGAAGCTTGGTATCAGAATGCGCTTTTTCTGGGGCTGTTGGATGGATGTGAGATCATATTCCTTTTTTTTTTTTAAGATTTTATTTATTTATTTGAGAGACAGAGAGAGAACAGGAGTGGGGGGGGTGGGGGGGAGGGGAAGCAGGCTCCCTCCCACTGAGCCAGGAGCCAGATGCGGGCTGGGTCCCAGGACCCCGGGATCATGACCTGAGCTGAAGGCAGACGCTTACCCAACCCCACGGAGCCACCCAGGCGCCCTGAGATCAGGTTACTTTTAACAGGCAGGGCAAACCTTTGTCTAAACGGGGAAGTAGGTTTGGTTCTTGGGGAGTATTGCAGGGAGGCCTCACTGCTGTGCTCAGATTGGGGTCTTCATGGCATGATAGCCAAGGAGCTTCCCGCTGGAAGGATCAAGTTGGTAAACGTGCAACATTACAGGCACTCAGGGCAAAGAAGTAATGCTACCTCCCGGTGGGGCGTGAGTCAGCAAGAAGGGTTGTGTGTACTTCACTTTCCCTCCTGCCAGGTGGGGACACTGACATGTCAATCCTCATTTACTTCCTCAGCAGGGAATGATTAGACCAAAAGGGCCTTTATAACTAAACAGAGTTGCAATTATGCGTTTCAGGTTTGCCTTCCTCTCATGAACAAACCCACCAGAGCCTTGTCATTAGGTAGCATGCTGCCCTATTTTCACCCTTCCTCAGGTTTGGGTAGGAGGCTGGCCTCTCCAGAATTTGAACAAAATACTTGACTGCCGACTTGGTGGAGAGGAGGAATCACAGATGTTTCCTGAAGCACCATCCCTCGAGGTGTTGTTTTCTTCCGACTTTACTGTACCAAGAGCACTTAGCCTGAGACCTACCCTTTTATCAGATTTTTAAATGCACAACCACAGTGTGAGTCGCTCTAGACTCTCTTGTGGTGGCTCTCCAGAACATAGTCATCCCGCGGAACTGAAATAATGTCCCCGATGATTAGCGACTTCCCATTTCCCCCACCGACCGGCTCCTGGCAAGCACCATTCTGCTTCCGTGAGTTAGACGGTTTGAGAGTCCTCATACAAGTGGAATCCTGTGGCCTTTGTCTTTCTGTGACTAGCTTCTTTTTTTTAAAAGATTTTATGTATTTGATTGTGAGAGAGCGCGCGAGTGAGAGAGCAGGGGGAGGGGGAGAAGCAGGCTCCCCGCTAAGCAAGGAGCCCGATGCGGGGCTCGATCCTAGGACCCCGGGATCATGACCTGAGCCGAAGGCAGACGCTTAACCGACTGAGCCCTCCAGGCGCCCCGGCGACTAGCTTATTTCACGCAGCAGGATGTTCTCAGGGTTCATCCATGTTGTCCCAATACCACAGGGCCTCCTTTTTAAAGGCTAATACTCCGTTGTGCGGCTACCCTGCGTTTTCTCCCCATTCATCTGGCGCGGTACGCGCAGGTGGAGTTTGCATTTTGGCGGTTGTGACTAGCGCTGCAGCAAACACGGGGGTGCTAATAGCTCTTTGAGATAGGCTTTCATTTCTTTCCCATGGAAAATACCCGGCCGTGGGCTTGCGGGATCATAGGGTGGTGCGATCTGTAGTTTTCTGAGCAGCCCCCATGCGGCGTTGTCTAGCGGCTGCGCGCTTCCCTGCCGCCGCCCGCGCCCCTGCGCAGGCCCTGAGGTGCGGGGCTTGCTGAGACTGGTGGTTCAGGTCCCACCTGTTGCTCCTGAACCCTACCAGCAACAGCCTCGGCCCCTCCTTTCTCTGCGTGCGGCCTGGAGACCTCCCTCTCAGTATTTACATCACCTGGTATTACCATAATCGGGTTAGTTGCCTTTTTCAGGACGCAAAAAATGACAGAAGTGATAACAGTACAATAATGGGAAAACCGCAGTGAGCCCCTGGTAGCGCAGGCTGTCCCCTGGGACTCACTTACCTCTCTTGCGCATTTGCCCCCTTCCTCCTGCTTTCCCTGCCCTGCAGCTCCTTCTGTGCTAGAGGGCTGCCCACGGGGCCTGAGCCCCCTCCCCCCGCAAGGAACCCCTGTTCCTCCAGGGCAGTCCTTGGCCAGGACTAACCATTGTGGGGGCGTGTTTGTGTGGATTTTAGGATAATTCTGAGGTTTCCTCTGTCCTCTTTCCACAGACCCCCTGTGGCTTCCTTCCCCTGCTCCCCAGATTGGTGTTCTCTGTAAACGAATTCTCATCACTGGCTTAAGTAACTTGTTTAAAGCAACAGAGTTAGAAAGTGAGGAGCTAGCATTTGGACCCAGGTTACCTGGCTCCAGGGTCTGTGCTCTTTTTTTTTTTTTTTTTTTTAGATTTTATTTGAGAGAGAAACACAGAGCGAGCGAACGAGCATGAGTGGGGAGGAAGGGCAGAGGGAGAGGGAGAAGTAGGCTCCCTGCTGAGCAGGGAGCCGGATGTGGGATGTGGGGCTCGATCCCAGGACCCTGGGATCATGACCTGAGCGGAAGGCAGACGCTTAACTGACTGAGCCACCCGGGCTCCCCCAGGGTCTGCGCTCTTAACCAGAAGGCTCCCTTGTGTTTCTCCGAGTTAGGGCTGCCTGTCCTTTTCTGTGTGTTTGCCTCAGCGAGTATTAGAGTGACTGTCATGGGGTGTTTTGGAATGACCTGCCATAATGAGTGACTACCCGGCTGACTGCTGCAGGCTGTTCCCCCAGTCAGCCTTACTGAGTCCCTTTCTGGGCATTTGTCCGCTCATTTCCCCCCCTAAGATGACCTCCTACTAGCTCTCTTTCAGTGTCAACTCCAGCCCACTTCCTCCTTGCCCCCTTTCCAGTGTGTCCTAGCCTACCGTCCTTTCTGCCCTCAGAACCAGTAGTATTTGTCCAATGTTGCCTTGGACAGCAGTCTCCTCTACAGTTTTAGTTACCTATGGTTGATGGTCAGCTGTGGTCCACAAGCAGGGGATCCTCCTTCTAACGTATTGTCAGAAGGTCTCTAGTAAACCGTGAGAGACTCTGGACTCAGGGAAACAAACTGAGGGTTACAGAAGGGAGGGGGTAGCTGGGTGTTGGCTATTAAGGAGGGCACGTGTTGTGATGAGCCCTGGGTGTTATACGCAACTAATGAATCGTTGAACACTACATCAAAAACTAATGATGTACTATATGTTGGCTAATTGAATATAATAATAAATAAAAAAAAAGATCACTAGTAGCCTAATACTACGTCACAGTGCCCACGTCACTCACCTCACTTCATCTCATGAGGTCAGCGGTTTATGGTCTTCTGTCAGCACAAGCAGAAGAATGAGTAGAGCACAGTAGGATCTTTTGAGAGACCACATTTATATACCTTTTATTACAGTATAGTGTTATAATTGTTCTGTTTTCTTATAAGTTACTGTTAATCTCTTACTATGCCTAATTTATAAAGTAAAGTTTATCATAGGTACATACGTATAGGACAAAACAGTGTAGGTAGGGCTTGGTGCTGTCCGAGGTTTCAGGCATCCACTGGGGATTTTGGAATGTACGGCTGCAAATGAGGGGGTGCTGCTGTATATCTTCTCTTCCCCCTGGTTTGATTGTAAATCCTGGGGAGCTGTGATTGTATGCCCCAAACCACAGAGTAAGTGTTTAGTGACTCGGTTCTTTGGGGATTAATCGAAACCTAGTCAGAGCTGCCCAAAGAAATGCCAAGGTTGTTTCCAGGTTCTGTGAATGAAGGGAAATAACGTGGTCAAAGAACAAAATTGAAAAAAAAAAAAAAGGGACAAATCTAAAAATTGTTAGCCCATTTTTGTGTGAGCCCGTGTGTGCGTTTTCACTCTACAGCTGTTCAAGTTGAATCACAGAGTGGATGTCTCATCTCTTGGCTTCAAGCACGGTGGCTAACCATTCCCCCCCCCCAACCCCCTGGTGGAATTTAAGTAGATTTATATGATGAATAATGTGGGTTTTCTTCTAATACTTGAGATGCAGTTTGACAAGCTTCATGTGAATAGTAGGTGAAACATGTCAAGTCTCTCCCCACCTCCCCACCCATTTGAAAGATAACAAAAATGTCCCCAGCAGAGTCAGTGTGTGGAATTTTGCTGGTGGCCGGGCACTTGTCCATGGTGACCTCCCCTCTTTGGCCAACTCAGACATGCTTTGCCTCCTGGGTGTGCCCCCACCATAAGGTCCAGGAAGGAGGGTTGATCCAAAACTGAAAATGCATACACTGAGCACATCCTGTGTGCCTGGCATTCTGCTGCGTGTTCTCTAGCAGAGTATGTGACTGATCCCCACTGCCACCTGGGATGTGCCATTCTCCTCTCCAAGTCCAGTCGATGGAACCCACATGATTTCACTAAAATCACACATTGTGGTGACCCTGGATTTGAGCTGTGCTTTATTTGACTGCTAAACCCACAACTCTTCCAAGATGTAAACAGGTGTTTAGATGATGATTCTAATGGTCATATTAACTCTAGAATTCTGAGACTTCTGGGTTCTTTGCCAACCTATTCCTTTTCTACCTTAGCCAATTCCCCTTAGCA